CCTCCTCCTCCTTCCTCCTCGCCGCCCCCCGGGCCGATGTCCTGGGCGGCGGCCCGGCGTGCGGCCGTGCGCGGCGCCAGCCGCCGCGCGCCGCCATCGCCCAGCTGGGGCGGCCGCTGCCGCTGGCTCGCGGCCTCGCGGGGAGCCAACCGTCGCCGTCGTCGTCGTCGTCGTCGTCGTCGTCGTCGTCGTCGTCGTCGTCGTCGTTGTCGTCGTCGTCGTCGTCGTCGTCGTCGTCGTCGTCGTCGTCGCTTTCGTCGTCGTCGTCGTCGCTTTCGTCGTCGTCGTCGCCGTCGTCGTCGTCGTCGTCGTCGTCGTCGTCGTCGTCGTCGTCGTCGTCGTCGCTTTCGTCGTCGTCGTCGCTTTCGTCGTCGTCGTCGTCGCTTTCGTCGTCGTCGTCGCTTTCGTCGTCTTCGTCTTCGTCGTCGCTTTCGTCGCTTTCGTCGCTTTCGTCGTCGTCGTCGTCGTCGTCGTCGCTTTCGTCGTCGTCGCTTTCGTCGTCGCCGTCGTCGGCGGCTTGGAGCTGGGGCCCCGAGGAATGGGGCCCTCAGGGGCAAGGTTCGGGGGGGCGGAGGAGGGGGAAAAGGAGGAGGAGGGGGAAGAGGAGGAGGAGGAGGAGGAGGATGAGGAGGAGGAGGAGGAGGAGGAGGAGGAGGCGAAGGAGGAGGAGGAGGAGGAGGCCAGGCCAGGCTCAGGGAAGAGGCAACCTTTTGCGAGGTTCTCCGAGGCCGTCGGGGGCTTCCGGGCCTCGGGGTGGTTGGTCCTCCGCCTCGCCTCGCCGAGGAGTTTCCCCACGGGGTGCAAGACTCGTCCTGAGCGGCCGCCAGGGACCCGAGTTGTGACCCGAGAGCTGGGCGACGGGGATCAGGGGGGGATAGGCTCAAACAAGTTTTACCGTGAAGGCCTGTGCTCGTAAGAGCCGGTCGGCCTCACACTCTGAGGCGAGCCTCTCGATCCGCAGAGGGCGTTCGGAGCACGTGCGCTCGAGCCTTGCCGACCGGGCTGTGAGAAACCTGCCGAGGAAAAGCGCAGCTGTCAGACGTCCGATCCGTCACCTCAGACTTCGCTCATCGGGGGGATGCATCGACCCCCAGTCGCCCACTGGTCGCCGATGGAGGGCCCAGCAGCCCGCCCCGTCCCTGAGCGTGCGGTCTCGCCATCGGGGCGGGGGCCCATCGCCGAGCTATCGGCGACGCATCGTCGATTCCAGGTCGATCCCCCTCCCCCCCTCAGGCTCACGTCGGGCGTGTCCCTCTACAGGAGGAGTACCTATTCAAAAAGAGTCAAGCAATCGTCTGGGGACGATTCTTTTGACTACGTCTGACCATTCGGGAGTATTTTTTTGTGGATTTTGGATGTTTCGTCCTAGAAGCGCCCTGTGGGGGGGCAGGCTCGACCGAACCTTAAGCCAGTCCCCCCCCTCCTATCGTCCCCCATCAGCCACTCCTTCTCAGGGCCCTACGGGCGGGGCCCTGAAGAAGGAACCCTTTTCGTTGGGGAGGGGCTCCGTGTTCCTCAAGTGCTTTACAGCTTGCCTCAGGTTTTCCTTATGCTTTCGATCGGAGATCGAAGGTTCACTTATGGAAAAACGGGGCCTCGTTCCTTATTTAGGGTTCCTTAGGTCAACGCCCCGACTGTATCCTTCAGGGCCCCATCTCGGAGTGCCGACGGCGGCGGCGGCGGCGGCGGCCCACGCCACGGGGGCCGGGCGCCAACCGGGGGAGGGTCGTCGCAGAGCTCGGCGGCCCTCCCTGGCCTTGCTCGCCCTCGCGCGAGGCCTCCGGGAGGCCTCGCGTCTCCCTGGCCGGGTCCGCCTCGAGGAGCCGGCCAGGGGGGGCCCCAGATCCGCAGGCATAGAGTCGACACCAACACCAGGATCGGCGGTGTGCCTCCACCGAGGGAAGACGATGCCGATCTCGGTGCTGGTGGTAATATTCTGGCTTCCAGGGTGGCCGAAGCATTGCCACGGGCACCGAAATCTAGGATCGTCTTCCCCATGTGGAGGCAACCCCCCGCGCTGGTGCTGGTGCCAATTTCCAGGCCTCCAGCAGACGTGGCCCCAGAGGGGGCCAGGCTCGAGCGGAGGCGGGCCGGGTGCGGGGGCGGCTGCCGTGGCCTCAGCTGGCCCTCCTTGGAGCGCACTAGGGGCAGGCCCCTCCCCTCGGAGTGCCCCCCCCCCCCCGCATTCTGTAAACGAATGGTCCTTCATCCGTATGACGGCTAGAAGTTGTTTGTCAAACGGACGTGCGCGGCGCTCAGACGAGGGCCGCATTAAAAAACAACCATCGGCCCTGCATCCCTGCAACAGTTGGTGTTTTTTGTTTTTCTATTTGTTGATTTCAGGGTCGTACATAGTAAGGAAGTCTGAAGCGCACCGCCTGCCCTGGCCTGCTGGCACGTCTGGTGGTGCGACAGGGGAAGGTAGCCAGCTGCCTGCGGCAAGTCCCACCGTCGTGCCAGCCTAGCATTCTGGGTGGCGGCTCTTGGGGGGTGGGCACGGGAGGCCGTCGCATGTGTGACGATTCGTGCCCCGAGGCTTGGGAGAACTGCGAGAAACACACTGCACTTTCTTCCGTGCAGTGTGGGGGGGATCTCTTCTCGTCTTCGGCGTCTCCATTCCGTTCGTCCTTTCCTGTGCTCCTGTGGTAGAGTCTTGGGGTCTGGGGCCATTTTGGGCCGTCGTGCAGCTCTCTTGGGCCGTCTTGGGGCGCTCTTGGCCGCCTGGGGGACCCCTTGCGCCCGTCGTATGGCTGCCAAAGGGCCGTGCGGGCCGTCGAGAGGTCCTCTAAGGCGGTCTTGGGTCCATCCGGGGGCCTTCTTGAGCCAGCTTGGGGCTCTCTCGGGGCCGTCCCGGACTGTCGAGGGGTCCTTTCGGGATGCCTCGCGGCCGTCTTGCAGAGCCATTTGGCCATTTCGCTGCCCTCTTGGGCCGTCCGGGGGGCATCTCGGGGGCCTCTGGGGCCGTGGAGGAAGTCCGAGAAGGTGAAGCCGCTGAGATCCCTGAGCACCCTGAGGAACATGCGTGGTCTCGGCCTATTCGGGTCCTGCGGGGGGTCTTCTGGTCGCCCTCTTGGGGCGTCTTGGGGGGCCTCTGAGGCCGTCTTGAGGCTATCTTCGGCTGTCTTGGGGCTGTCTTGTGCCAGGAGGGGAAAAGACACACAGACACAGTGAATCGTCGATTCCCCAGACAATATGGGAACTACGGGAAGAGACGAAAATCCACAACATATGAACACATGTTGGGAATCCTGGGACTTGTGTCTATTTGTTTGTGTGTCCCTGGGCCCCCGCTCACAGTGCCTCTTGGAGGCGTCCTGGGCAGCCTTGGCAGTCTTGGTGGCCCGACGCGGTCGCCCTGGAAGCTCGGGGGGCGCAGGGCCACAGGTCTTTTTTTAGGGGATCTCGTGGCCTCGGGAGCGAGCATCCATCGCTTCTGCTGGGGATCGTGGCCTCGGTTGGGGAGGAGGAGGAGTCGGAGGAGGAGGAGGAGGAGGAGGAGGAGGAGGACGAGGAGGACGAGGAGGATGAGGCGGCGGAGGATGAGGCGGAGGACGAGGAGGACGAGGAGGAGGAGGATGAGGAGGAGGAGGACGAGGAGGAGGAGGAGGAGAGGAGGATGAGGAGAGGAGGAGCGAGGAGAGGAGGAGGAGAGGAGGGAGGAGAGGAGGAGGAGGAGGAGGAGGAGGAGGAGGAGGAGGAGGAGGAGGAGGAGGGAGGAGGAGGAGGAGAGAGGGAGGAGGAGGAGGAGGAGGAGGAGGAGGAGGGAGGAGGAGGAGGAGGAGGATGAGAAGGATGGTGAATGCGTGCAGGTGGATGCGGGTAGAGCTCCTCAGAAGATTGCGGGGCCCTGCCAGGCAGCACTTCGCATTTTTGCCATGCCTCAGCGTGCCAGGGTGCACGCACGGTGGCGGATATATCAAGAAGAGGGATGAGGAGGCGGGAGAGGGGAAAGGATGAGGAGGAGGAGGAGGGGGAGGAGGAGGAGGAGGAGGAGGAGGAGGAGGAGGAGAGGGAGGAGGAGGAGGAGGAGGAGGAGGTGGCGGAGGAGGAATAGGAGGAGAATGAGGATGAGGGGGAGGAGGAGGAGGAGACGGAGGAGGAGGAAAACGATGGCGACGTCGACGACTCGGCCTCCAGGCGTCTGCGGGATCTGGCCCCAAGCGGGAGATGAACATGTTCACGGCCATCAACGACGCCATGGACGTCGCCCTGGCCAGCGACGACCGGGCGATGGTCTTCGGCGAGGCTCGATAACGACGATGTCGTCGTCGTCGTCGTCGTCGTCGTCGTCGTCGTCGTCGTCGTCTTCGTCATCGTCGTCGTTGTCGTCGTCGTCGTCGTCGTCGTGTTGTTGTTGTTGTTGTTGTTGTTGTTGTTGTTGTTGTTGTTGTTGTAGTTGTAGTTGTAGTTGTAGTAGGAAGTCGTCGTTGTAACAGGAGGAGGAGGAGAAGAATGAGAAGGAGGAGGAGGAGGAGGAGGAGGAGTAGGAGGAGTAAAAATAATATAGGAAATGCTAAGAGGAGGAGGGGGATAACAGTAAATATCCCAGTGCGACCCTACCTAGGAGTTGGAGCCTCTAGGACAGCAGCATTAGTAGGAGCGGTAAACGCCGTCCTCCTCCTTCTCCTCATCGTCGTAGTTGTAGCAGTAGCGGTAATAGTAGTAGTAGTAGTAGTAGTAGTAGTAGTAGTAGTAGTAGTAGTAGTAGTAGTAGTAGTAGGAGTAGCGCCAGAACCTATGCTATGCTCTGCTATGCTCTGCTATGCTATGATATGCTATGCTGCGCAATGCTATGCTGGGCTGGGCTAGGCTAGGCTACGCTTTGCCATGCTATGCTATGCAATGCTGCGCTATGCTATGCTGCGCTATGCTATGCTATGCTATGCTATACTATGCTTGTGCTTTGCCTGCGCTTTTGCCTTCACTTTTGCCTTTGCTTTTGCTTTTGCTTGGCACCCCGGGAGCGCAACTGGGGGAACCGCGTGTTTGCTTTTACCTTTGCTGTTGCTTTTGCTTGCCTCCCAGGGGACCGGGGGAACCGCCCGGGGCGGGTTACACTGCCCGGCCCTTTTCAGCCAACAGAGTAAGAACCCTTCTAGGCAGAGCCTAGGTAGGGAATCATACTAATAATAAACAAGAAGAAGAGTACGAATCATAATAGTCATAGCAAGACTACCATACATAATAATGATACTAATACCAGTAATAATGACAATCTTAATCACAATATTAATACTGATAGCATGATAGTAATACTACGAGTAGCAATTATAATGAGAAGAATACTACTGATAGCACTAATCCTTACAATCTTGCTAATAATAAGAATGCTACTATCAAGAGGGACAATACTACTAATGCTCATAATAAGAAGAGGAGGATGAGGAGGAGGAGGAGGTGGAAGAGGAGGAGAAAGAAGTGCACGAGGCCGCCCAAACCGGCGACCCCGCCACCGAGGTGGAGGCGCATAACCTAATCTCGGGCACGTGCTTGCGGCCCGCGGACGTGCTCACGTGGGCGGGCTCTGGGACGCGGGCTCACGGCGCTCGACATCGGGATCGCCTCGCCCAATGCGTGCGTTGCCGGCCCAGACTGCGTGTCAAGCCTGTGCGCGCAAGACCGCGTACTACGCTCCCGGCAGCGATGTTTAGGGCTGGTAGAACATCCTTCGCCCGTCCCTGGTCTGGTCATCCTTCTGCCGACCCCGCCCCCGGACGACATTCGTCCTCCGCGCGCTCGCGACCCGCCCTTCCCGGCGGTGGGGGTGTTCGGACGGGGCGTGGCGGTGCAGCAGCAAGGCCTTCGCGCGGCGCTTCGCTGTGGCGGCGGACGGCAGCTCGCGCCAGGGCAATGACGTCTGAGGGCAGGCCCCCTGACGCCCCTGACGCCCGCCCATTCGTCTTCCTTGCTTCGCCCTCCTCATCCCCGCTGGGCTTGGATGCCGCCTCTTTCCTTTCGCGCGCGTTGCGGGGCAAGCTGCGCCCGACCCCCCCCGCCGTCCCCTTTCTTCTTCTTCTTCTTCTTCTTCTTCTTCTTCTTCCTCTACGTCCTCCGCCCGCCTCCTTCGGCGCCGCGGCCAGGGCGGCAAAGATGCCGAAGGGCGCGGGCTGCGTGAGCTGCCGGCTGGCGTTTCCACGCCTGGTGTGACTCGAGAAGCGCCGTGGGCAAGTGTGTTGGTACGGGATGCACCAGTGCCAGCCCGAGCCTTTTTATTGAGCTGGCGGCAGTTCAGGAGTGCAGCCCCGGGCTAGTCAATTTTTTTCGGTTCCGCTGCGCCGCTGCACGGTGCAGCATCGGTTTTCCCCCTCCATTGGGGTTGCAGATCAGCTTTGAGATTCTTCCTTCTGGCATCATTTTATTGGCCTGTTTCATTACCTTAGCTGAGGCACGCGTCGCCGTCAGCAGTTTCTTTACGCCTCGCTCTTCTTGCTCCTGCTCCTCTGCTCCTGCTCCTGTGTTCCTGCGCTCCTTTCCTCTGCTGCGACAGAGCCGTCGGCTCCCGAAAGGGTTCCCCCGCCCCCCCTGACGAATGGGATTGCTCCCACCCCCGCCGCGCCGATGCCGATGGAGAAACGGGGCTGCGAAAACGGGAAAACGCCAGCACAGCGCGAATCGATGTCGCGCCGTCAGCGGGGGGGTCTGCGCAAAAGAATATGGACGAACGCTTCCAGCGGATGTTGCTCCCCGAGTAGTAGTAGGCGAAGGGTTGGATTGGACCGGATCTCAGGGCAATCTCTTCCCTCCTCGAAACTAAAATGGCGAGCTTCGTTTGAACAGAAGGAATGCAGGGCAAAGGGAGGCAAGGCTGTGGGCTAGCGCCGGGAACTTGAGTGGGTGGAGGAGGACGAGTTGGAGGAGGAGCCGGAGTAGGAATAGAAGTAGGAGTTGGAGTAGGAGAAGGAGTAGGAGGAGGAGGAGGAGGAAGAGGAGGAGGAGGAGGAGGAGGAAGAGGAGGAGGAAGAGGAGGAGGAGGAGGAGCAGGAGGAGGAGGAGGAGGCGGAGGCGGAGGAGGAGGAGGAGGCGGAGGAGGAGGAAGAGGAGGAGGAGGAGGAACATGAGGAAGAGAAGGACGGTCCCTCTTATTTCGCATCTTTCCTTTCACCTTTTCGGCTTATATACTCCTTTCCCCTTCTTCGGTGAGGACGTGGCCTTCGGCGGCGTCTTCCGCTGCAGCATGGGCCTGAAGGATAAGTACGGCAGCGAACGTGTGTTCAACACCCCCTTGTCTGAGCAGGGCATCGTCGGCTTCGCGATCGGCATGGCCGCCGTCGGGTACACGCCGATCGCCGAGATCCAGTTCGCTGACTACGTGTTCCCGGCCTTCGACCAGATCGTCAACGAGGCTGCCAAGTACCGCTACAGGGCCGGCTCCACCTGGCACTGCGGCGGGCTGACAATCCGGATGCCCTGTGGCGCGGTCGGCCATGGCGGCCTTTACCACTCGCAGTCGCCCGAGGCCTTCTTCTCCCATTGCCCAGGCCTGAACGTGGTCGTCCCTCGCGGCCCAGTTCAGGCCTCGAGCAGCATACATATAAAGCAGCATGAACACAAACAACTTTCAGAGGTCCGCGCGGATTCCTCGGGGCGGCGCTGGGCTCCTCCTGGCGGCGCCTCGGGCGCCGCCCCTGGCGCGCTACCGCGCGCTAGGGGGGGGTCCAGCACCGACCCAAACAATCGGCGCGGACCTTTGAGCGTGCACGTTTATGCTGTTTTGTTTTCTTCTGAGGCCAAAGGGCTGCTGCTGGCCGCGATCAGGTCCCCAGACCCGACGCTCGTCTTCGAGCCGAAGGTGTTGCGCTGGCCTTAGGAAGCCCCGCGGCGCGCTCAGATCGGACGCCGGGCTGTTGAGGAGGAGGAGGAGGAGTAAGAGGAGGAGGAGGAGCAGGAGGATGAGGAGCAGGAGGAGCCAGAGGAGGAGGAGCAGGAGCAGGAGGAGGAGGAGGAGGAGGAGGAGGAGGAGGAGGAGGAGGAGGAGGAGGAGTAGGAGGAGGAGGAGGAGGAGGAGCAGTAGGCGGAGGCGGAGGAGGAGGCGGAGGCGGAGGCGGATGATGATGATGATGATGATGATGATGATGATGATGATGATGATGATGATGATGATGATGATGATGATGATGATGATGATGCTGATGATGATGCTGACAATGATGATGATGATGATGATGATGATGACGATGACGATGATGATTGTGCTTATGATGATGCCGATATTTATGATGATGATTATGATGATGACGATGATGATGACGATGATGATGATGGTGATCACGACGACGATAATGATGATGTTGATTATGATGAGGATGATGATGATGATTATGATGATGATGATGACGCTGATGATGATTCTGATGATTATGATGCTGATGCTGCTGATGCTGCTGATGCTGTTGATGATGATGGTGATGCTGACGGTGATGGTGATGGTGATGACAATCGTGATGGTGATGATGGTGAGGTTGATGCTGATGGTGATGATGATGCTGATGCTGCTGATGCTGATGATGATGCTAATGATGTTGATGCTGATGGTTCTGTTGATGTTGATTGTGATTGTGATGATGATGATGATGATGATGATGCTGATGATGATGATGATGATGATGATGATGCTGCTGATGCTGATGATGCTGATGATGATGATGATGATGATGATGATGATGATGATGCTGATTTTGATGATGATGCTAATTCTGATGATGAGGATGAGGATTAATATGAGGATGAGGATGGGGATGCTGATGCTGATGCTGATGCTGATGCTGATGCTGTTGATGATGATGATGATGATGATGATGATGATGATGATGATGATGATGATGATGATGATGATGATGATGATGATGCTGATGATGATGATGCTGATGATGATGATGATGATGATGATGATGATGATGAGGAGGAGGAGGAGGAGGAGGAGGAGGAGGAGGAGGAGGAGGAGGAGGAGGAGGAGGAGGTTGATTGTTGGCCTTTTCGCCGCCGTGCAGACAAGCTCAGGCGCCATATCCTTACCTGCCTCTCCCCTTGAGAGGGCCTCCTTCGGCCGTGCGGCCGTTCTCCCCTCTCCTCCTCCGCCTGCCTGCCTGGTGTCCTTTCCCTCCTCTTGTTTTTGGCCAGGGTGGAGTGGTTCGGCGGTGAGCGGGGGGGGGAAGTGAGAAGGAGAAGGCCTTCTCAGAAGGCTCGGAAGCCCCCCCCGGCCTTCTGACAAGTTTTGTTGAGCCTTCTCCGGAGACATGAAGCCTCTTGGGAGGCGCGAGGCCTTCTGAGAAGTCCCGCCGCTTTCTGAGAGGGCCCTCTCCTGGTCACTTCCCCCCCTCGCTCGCCGCCGAGTGTGTGCGAGAGCTTCGGTCGTGAGCGTCAGGCCCAGGCACACTTTTTCTACGCCGCTGCGCGGCGGAGGCAGTCCGCACGCGCGCTCGGGCAAGCTGGGAGACGGCATCGCTGATTGTCGGGCAGCAAGAGCGGGAAAACGGGGAAGGAGGCAGCGGCCGCGGGGCAGCGGGGAGGAGGGAGAGCGCTCACGCGGCGGGGGCCGCTGCGGAGGCGACAAAATCAGACGCCCGTGTTTTTTCGCAGCGTGGCCCCCCAGAGGTCTGGACCTCATCCCCGGGGATCGACTTTTTGCCCTGGGTTGTTTTTGAAGGGAAGGCCTCCGAAGGGTTGTCCCCAATCATCCTGTGGTGTTGGGTCTTCGTTTTGAAGAGGCAGCGCCCCGCGTCACTCCTCCCGCTGCCCCCTCCCCCTTCATCTCCTCCCATCCGTGCCTCTCCTCCCATCCCTGTCTCCTGTGGTGTTCGGTCCTCGTTTTGAAGAGAGAGCGCCCCGCATTCTCCTCTCCTCCTCTCCTCCTCCTCCTCCTCCTCCTGCTCCTCCTCCTCCTCTTCCTTCTCCTCCTCATCCTTCCTCCTCCCCCTCCTTGTCTCTGCCCTCCGAACGTCCATTTCGTCACGCCTCACACGGTTCGTGGCCCCATCGGGATCTCCACTGAAGGCCCCAGTGGCCGCGTGCGCATGCGGTTCCCCGACCACCGCGCGTCCATTTCGGCACACCCCTCACACGGTTCGTGGCCTCATATGGAGCTCCACCGAAGGCCCCAGAGGCAGGGTTCGCATGGCACCACCGCGCCCAATTCGGCACACCCCTCACACGGTTCGTCGCCCCATAGGGAGCTCCACCGAAGGCTCCAGTGGGAGGGTTCGCATTACACCACCGCGCCCAGCTCGGCACGCCCCTCACTCGGTTCGTGGCCCCTATAAGGAGCTCCACCGAAAGCGGTACCCACAATGCGGTACTCGCAGCGGCATATAGTTGGGTCTTTCGTCAGGCCAACTCTTGAGGGGAAGGCCTCCGAATGACGATAGTTGCCACCCATTTCTGGTCGCGATTTTTAATCGTCGCGAGGATGCCCGGGGCCGTGAGTGATAGACCTGCCCACAGCTTCGGACTTGAAAGGTCCCTGGCATGCGTCGGAACAAGAATCACGACGGAAGCTCGTCGGCACTTCTCGGGACCCCAGGGCCACCGCTGGGTCCCCTGCTACTCGGGACGAAAGACAAGTCCTGCGAAGAGGTCCGGACATCTGTGATGAAACACCGTCCTCGGAAGAGGTCGTCGCGACACGAACCTGTCGTTGGTTTCAGATCCACTCCATCTCAGTACCTGTCTGAATTGGCGTGGGTCTCAAACACTCCTTGTCTGCAGTTTCGTTCTTCCTTCTCCTTCTTTCTTCTTCTCCCTCACCTCTATCCTTCCTTCTCCCTCTTGAAGGCATAGTGGACGCTTCATGGGGCTGCTTTGAGGCTTCGTGGGGTCTCTTGGGGTCCTCTTGCGGCCCGTTGGCTGTCGTTCGGGGGCCTTCTTGAGGGCCGTTGGGCGGGCGTTGGGGCCGTCTTCGGGCCCAGTGAGGCTGTCTTATGGGGTTTGCGGGCAGTCTTGTTGGGCCCTCTTGGGGCCCCCTTTTCAGGCCGTCTTGGAGCCGTCTTGGGGACTTCTTGGGCCTCTCTGAATCTTCTTGTAGGCGGCCTGCAGCCGAAACGCTTCCGAAGCAGCATGTTTTGATTCTGCGTAGGTCTCCATTGCTTTGGCCTCCTCGGGCCCAGCTGGATGCCTCTCCGAGCTGTATTTGGGGAGCTCTCTGGGGACATTCTGGAGCCAGGGCCTCCTGACACCCCATGGGGACGTTGGATTGGCTCATCTTTAGGCGATTGGATGGGATTGGGTTTGGCTCTCTGAGGATCCGCGAACGAAGGGGCTTTTCTGACCACGGCGAGCTTCGGCTACGAATAAGTTCTCCGACCTAGATCTAAGGACCGGCCCGAAACACCTGAACCTCTCCTTCATCCAAAGTTGTCTTTAGTTCAGCGTCTTGACTGTATACCACTGGTCCATACAGAGACGATCCCCAGGTGGATTTCTTTGATCAGGGAAGTGCAGGAACATATTGTGTAAGAAGGACAGGCTCATCCGTCAGACCCCACATTGGGATCATCTTGAATAGACCGAGGAGTCAATCAGAAACTCCTGCTCAGAGCATTCGATGTGGCAGCCTCTCGGAAGCTAGAGAAGATCTTGCACGTCGGCCGCCCTTTTGAAGCCCGATCTATATATATATATATATATATATATATATATATATATGGAGTTCTATATGTTAGGCGCCGTCTTGGAGCCCTTCTGGGCCACCCTTGGGCTCTCTTGGGGCTCTCTTGGACGATGTTGGAGCCATCTTTGGGCCTCAGAAGCCCATCGGAAGCGACACGACGAGAAGGCCAACATCATGCAGCACCTAAGACTTTCGCATCATTTCTCGCCGCTCGGGCCTCTTCTGAGGCTCTGGGGTCGACTGGAGCCGCCTTGGGGCCGTCTCGGGGCGTTTTGGAGGCATGGTTGAGGCCTTCCTGAGCCAACTTGGACCGTCGTGTGCCATTTTGCAGTCCATATTTTGCATACGGGAGGGGGAACAACTAGTGGACAATCCCCCGCTCCCCCAAACTCTCAAAGTCGGCACGCGCGGGGGAGACCGCGGTCGCAGTGTAGCTCATCAGACCCACCGCTACCTCTTCAACATGGGGTGGGGTGGGGTGGCGTTGACCGACGAATGTGGCATGCGTGTTCGCTATTGTTTGTTTCCCGAGGCCTGTATGCTCCCCAGGAGGCCCCAAGAGGCTCCCAGGAGCCCCCCTGGAGCCCAAGAGGACCGCAGAGGGGCGGGAAGCTCTCCCGACTGGGGGGGGGGCCCGCAGTGGTTCCCGCCCTGCCCGCCGTGCTCGCTGCTTTCTCTTCCCCGGCGGCCCGGATTTTTTTTGTCGACGACGAGGGGGGATGGTCCAATTTAGTCGACGACGAGGGGGGAGGACGAGGAGGGGAGGGGGGACGACGACGACGACGACGACGACGACGACGACGACGACGACGACGACGACGACGACGACGACGACGACGACGACGACGACGACGACGACGACGACGACGACGACGACGACGACGACGACGACGACGACGACGACGACGACGACGACGACGACGACGACGACGACGACGACGACGACGACGACGACGACGACGACGACGACGACGACGACGACGACGACGACGACGACGACGACGACGACGACGACGACGACGACGACGACGACGACGACGACGACGACGACGACGACGACGACGACGACGACGACGACGACGACGACGACGACGACGACGACGACGACGACGACGACGACGACGACGACGACGACGACGACGACGACGACGACGACGACGACGACGACGACGACGACGACGACGACGACGAC